TGGTCATGTGGTGTGATGTGGTTATGTGGTTTGAAGTAGTCATGTGGTGTGAAGTGGTCACGTGGTGTGAAATGGCCATGTGGTGTGAAGTGGTTATGTAGAATGAAGTGGCCAATCGCGGTACGAAATAACTGTGTGATACAAAGTAAATTCGATTGGGATAAAGTGATTTTGAAACAAATTGATTTTAATTGCTGAATATGATACAAAAGAACACAATTTTTAAGTTACTCTTTTTGTAAAACTGCAGATTGTGTACATTACTTTATGTTGTGCTCTGTGTTATCATCAGTCTTATAACAGTTGATCTTGTTGAACATTTTAGGACATAATTTCACCACAGTAAACTATATGACTCGAAATATAAATTAGATTCTGACGCTATGGAGACTAAGCAATTGACCAATAGAAATCATGGTATTGGGATTGAAAAATCCATGCTAAGTGTTGCAGAGAAAATATGTTGGCACATTCAAAAAATAAAAATGTAAAGATGGGACAACAAGAAAATAAATAATTTTTAATTTCATAATTATAAAAATACAGTCATACACTAACTATTGCAATTATGCACCATGGCTGTACTCACTGTCACAACCCTTTGAGCGCCAAATCTTTTTTTCTGCTGATTTTTTTTTAACATTTTCTGTATTTTTCAATCTTAATTTTGAAACAAACTAACATAATGTGACATTTCTTCTTAGTTTTAATAAAAAAAAATTATTATTAAAATTTCTAGATGCTGCTTCAAGGGTAAAAACACAAAGTTTTATCATTCGTTTCAAAACGTATCAGCACTTATTTGAACATTCAAATTTGTCTCTATATGGGGTAAACTACGTCATAACATTTGACGAGTTTCGGGTTGTTGACGTGACATGCAAACACTTTCCTTTGTTTTCATTGGTTGCATTAAGCACTATACAATCATGACGCAACAGAATCCTGTCTATGGGGCAATAAAAACAATCACTGCTTTCATGCATATTTTGCGGCAATCTCTTTATAACATCATATTTTTACATTGTTACTATCATATATATGCTAATTTGAGAGATCTGTTTTGATGTAAACATGTTTTCTAACTATCCATATTCCCAGATGATGATGAGTGTGCCGGTACTTTACACGGCTGTGCTGTGAATGCTACCTGTAAAAATACCCATGGATCTTATGGTTGCCAGTGCTTGCAGGGATTTACTGGTGATGGGAAAGATTGTACAGATATAGATGAATGCGCACAAAACTTAGATGAGTGTGCTGAAGAGGCCAATTGTTTAAACACTATAGGATCAGTTGACTGTCATTGTTTTAAAGGATATGAAGGAAATGGCACTGTGTGTATTGGTATGTATACCCAATATTTATTGGATTCCAAATGGTGAAAACAAACCATGTACAACGTATAGAGAGCTGGAGCCCTTATCATGTGTATTTTGTATAAGATTGCCAATGATCGGACGTCATTTTATTTGGGATGCAACTATTAAAGACCGGGCTTCATGTGAAGTATAGTCACAACATCGCTAAATTTAATCTTTAAGATTTCAATATCGCGAAACTAATTACAGTTGCTCCTCTCATCAAAATTAGCTCAACTTTTTACAGAATGATCACTATATCCAGTTTTATTCTGTAGGGACTAAATTCGGTATTGATACTCCAAAAAAAATAAAATTCACCATTAATGAAATTATGATTTATTTTATACCTCTATTTACAGATGTTGATGAATGCTTACAAGGTGCAAACAACACATGTGTTCATGTTCATGCTACATGTGACAATCTTCCTGGGACATATACTTGTGGTTGTAAAACTGGGTACGAGGGTAATGGAATGACACACTGTAAAGACACCAATGAATGTGATGAAGGTCTATACACATGTCATGCAGATGCAATTTGTGTAAATACAGAAGGATCCTATGAATGTCATTGTAATGAAGGTTTTTATAAAAATGGAACACAATGTGAAGGTAAACAAAAACTTCTAATACCATTCAACAGATTTTAATGAAATTCGCTACATAGATTATCGCGGCCAATACACAAATCTGTTGTTTTTGATTTAATTCCCATGCATATTAATCATTAATTTGCATATTAAAGAGCCAATTTAGCTTGTCCACTATTCTCTCAACCACTCACCAGTTTCAACTTGGTACATAGGTGCTCTGGGATAAGCTATATACATATTTAGTTTAGGGTTAAATTATGTGCTTATTAATTACCTTATTTGCATAAATTAACAAATTTTTAGGTGTTCATAAATATGCATGAGTGTAATATCTCAAGCACTGTGACATGACATGCAACTAGTGCTATAATAAAGGGGTTTGACAAAAGATATGACTAACATACCACATAATTGTAATATCTTGATCAAGGTAGGGAGGGCTGTTGTCAAAATAAGTCAAACTTCAATGATTTGGGGTCAAATAAATACAATTTTTGATTTATTTCACTTGAAGTTGTTCTTCTAATATAGTAAATACAGTATTCCGTATTCGTACTTCATGCCTCCAATTCCCTTAGCACACGGAAGTTTTTTTCTAAGCTTTCTTTAATTTGGATTTAATGTGGTAACCTGTTATTGGCTCCTGAACACAACAGACTAGTATAAATAGAACACAAATGTGTAGCCTATATTATCCTTATTCTCCATTTTCAGAGTACTTATAACCACTCTTGAGTAATGAAACATTCAAAATAACTAATGAACATCAGTGTTTTCCCTCATACTGCTACTCACTGTATTCAGCTACACTATTAACCCTTTGAGCGCTAAAGTCAACTTTTGTTTCATAAAATAAATCTTTATATTTTTTAAAAATATTTTGATCAAGATATACAGGTAATGGGAAATTATAACCGTCTGGTCCAAAATTGAAGAAATAATTATAGAAAATTTGATAAAAAAATTTGGGGTTCACCGGATTAAAATACAAATTTGATGGGGGTTATATGTTTTACATCTAATCATTACATTGCAAGTATTCAGTAGTTACACTGAGTTATATATCACAAATAACATGTTGATATATTCTTGACAGATACCAATGAATGTGAACAAGGACATTCATGTAATACTCCCACTGAATTATGTATCAACATAAGGGGCAGTTATGAATGTACCTGTAATATTTTTAAAGGATACGATGTAAGAAATGGAGAATGTGTTCGTAAGTATACTGTTTACAATATTACAATTTAAAGATAATTATAGACTTTCACTGAAAACTGAATTTCTTAGTCTGTTTGATAATGGAGGATATTTACAAAATATACTTATATTGAAATATATTGTATTTACAGCAATTTACAAAATGTACTTATATTCGAATATAATGTATTTACAGCAATTTCGTGTGAGAACAATAATTGTGCAAGTAATGCTACATGTACACCTGATGGAAAAAAATATATTTGCTCTTGCATTGATGGTTTTATTGATGAGTCACCAGATTTGATCGGCAGTCCTGGAAGGGTATGCACAGGTAATAGAGTAATGTATGCATTAGTGGATATTACAAATTTATAACCCAATGAAAACCGGTAATCTTAGAAAGTAGATGTGAGTACTGCACTTGAGTGATTGTTTGAGTAATTTGAGTACTAGGAAAAACCATAACCAATGAAGAAGTACCAAAGTATTTTGTATAACGCGCCAGCCTTTAACACGTTAACATAAAGATCAGCCATTAGAAACTCTGAGAGCGTTTGCAGAATTGGGAGAAAATAACAACATTATTTACATTAAACAAATCCTGCAGGGATCAGTACAGAATCAAAATCCACAGAAAATTCCTAATAGAGAATCAATACAAAATTAAGTAAAGGAAAATGAGATTTCGCATAGTTTACATGCCTTCACTCTTGCCAGAGTTATTAAACGATCCATCCATATTACGTTTTTTATGAGTCATCATTTGGATGATGTGCGTTTGTTACTTAATTCTGACATCTTACACCATCTGTTTGTTTCCTATGATTCTACAGAACAATGTGACGACAGTTTGTGTCACAAAGGCATGTGTATTGGAACTGTGAATAACTTTACCTGTATGTAAGTATCAGAAATCAAATAATGAATCTTAATAATGAAATGTCATTCAATGTTCGACATTCACATATATTTATTATTCATTCCAGTTGTGGTGATCAGTATAAAGGAGAATTCTGTGAAACAAAAAGAGAAGATGGTGTACCAGATGATGCAGGTTAGTAACTATAGAGGTTTTTCATCTTGTGTCACAAGGTTTTTAGTGCGAGATGTTCCACTTGTGATATCTAGAATATGGAGAGAAGCTTCTATATATGAGCAACGACGGTGGTTGAACGACCTCTTACACCGGCTTTAGATTGAGCTAGGAGTCACCCAGAGAGGACATTATTTAGACATTGTTTTATGACTCTTGTTTTGAAAAGGACAAATTTGAGTAGTTAAACTATCGCGGAAGTTTTGGACTAAAAAATGATATTCCGAAAAGTATTACTCTGATTGATGATTTTATGTCTGATTAGAATTCTACATTAATATACCTTTCATGTGATATAATACATAAACAATTTTGATACAATTTTTACAACATTTTTGTGGGGAGAATTATATAATTTGGCACTTTAACTCTGTATTTTTGGAACCAAGCTGCAACCGATGGGTTCTGGGTGATTACGATTTTTTTCTATTCCCAGAAATGAATAGAAGTCATAAAAACGATTTCTCAATAAAGACTCTCTGGGGAGCATCGAGCTCAATCTGAAACCGGTGTAAAGTTTTGTTAATTAATACATGATGAAATATTGATAACTAGTCAGTTTTATTTATATATTTTCATTAAACTACATTGATATATAGACTCAAGTGGCGGCTAAATTGATGCTTTAAGAATGTGAATTTGTGGGGTATACACTCAATGCATTGATTCGTCGATATAAAACAACTGTTCAAACCCAGCCAGCTATATCAATGGATACAACAATACTAGTGACCTCGAAAATTACATTCATTCAATTTGAGGATTATTTTTCTTCTTGTCCCTAGCATTGACAGCATTACAAATAGTTGGTACTGCAGTTGGAACAACAGCCGGAGTGATTAGCATTGCTCTTGTAATCTTCTGTGTGCAATACTGTAGAATGAAACGCAAGAAATCTTTGAAAGAAGTCAATTATTTGACGTCACCATGGAAAGAAACAGGAAACGATGATGATGTGTCAAATGATTGGTACTGGCATGATGGCTATGAATCATATGATTCTGACAGTGTTATCAGCTCAGATAAAGACTTTGATCAAGGTCGTTCTGATAGATTGTTGACAGCATTGACAATGGTCCCTTATGAGGTATGGTTCGCAATATGTATTAAACTAATTAACAATACATATGAATGCAAGTTTATTAAATACAATTTTAGAGTCATATTTCACTTACTATAATTAAGTTTATATTATACAATAAACTGTATTAAATACAACAATAGACAAAAACACACTCAGCTAAAACAGGCAATTAACGCAACAATAGGCAACACAAATGAAACACAATAGATAAAAAAACATCAATATACCACAAACAATACAGAACTGACAATTTAAGTCAATAAGACCTACTTCCAAATACAAGATTCATAATTGTCCGATTACTTGTCTCTAATGTCTGAATGACGAAATTATTGGTTACAGAAAAAGGAGTAAAGAAACAAAGATGAAATTGCTACAAGCTTTACATGTAACCATAATAAGTATTTATATGTGGGTTTACAGATATAAACCCACTGTTTTGTTTATATTCGAATAATACTTAGCATATAAGAATGCAACTGTAGAAATTACACTTTGCATATGAATACAAGTGTGGCCGGTTTACATTTAGTATAAAGACAAAAGAACTGTGGATTTACAAAAATAAAGAAACGGCCAAACATTGGTTCACTTTCCAAAATTTGTTTAAATACACAGCAATTGACAAATAATTGAATACCAATTGACAAAACACACAATATACAGAAAACACGCAAAAATAAACAACTCAATCCTATAGAGAAAACGCGACAACAGATAACAATAGGCAACAAACACAATAATGGTCGTAACCACACATCAATGGGCAACAATAAAAAAGAAACACAGCAAACACGAAAATAAAGAAGGGGAACAAACAAAATAATAGACAAGAACCGCGACAATAGACAACAAACACATCATAGACAGCAAACACGTTAATGGGCAACAAACAAGAATAGACAACAAACACAATAACAGACAGCAAACACGACAGTAGATGACAAACAACAATAGACAACAACACAACAACAGACAGCAAACACGACAGTAGACGACAAACACAATATTAAACAGCAAACACGGCAATAGACAACAAACAATGGACAACAACACAGCAATAGACAACAGACACAACAATGGACAGCAAACAAAAAACAATAGACAACAACATAACACAAACAATAACAGCAAACTCTACAATAGACAGCAAACATAACAATAGGCTACGCCACAATAATAGGCAGCAAACATGACAATGAACAACAAACATCAATAGGCAACACACTCAACAGCATACAGTAAACACGACAATAGACAACAAGCAATAAAAGACAATAAACTCAATAACAAGACTGCAAACACAGCAATACACACCAATAGACAACATACACAACAATAGATAGCAAACAGGACAATAGGCAACAACACAATAATAGACAGCAAACACGACAAAAGACGACAGACAACAATAAACAACATATACAATAATAGAAAGCAAATAACAATAGACAGCAAACACAGTAATAGGCAGCAAACATGACAATAAACATAACACTAGTCAGCAAACAGAATGACAACAAACACAGCAATAGAAAGCAAACACAACAAACATAGCAATAGGCTACGCCACAATAAAAGGCAACAAACATGACAATAAACAATAAACATCAATAGGCAACACACTCAACAGTATACAGTAAACACGACAATAGACAACAATCAATAAAAGACAATAAACTCAATGAAACGACTGCACACACAATAAAAAAACAATAACAGATAGCAAACACAACAATAGACAACAAACGCAACAATAGAAACAAACATCAATAGGCAACAAACACAATAATAGACAGCAAACACGATAATAGAACAAACAATAATAGAAAACAAACTCAACAACAAACAACAAACACTTTAATAGACAACTAATATAACTCTAGACAGCAAAAACAACAAAAGACAACAAACTGTACTGTCCTTGGTGATAATTAATTTGTCGTTTGAAGTTGGCAGGGGGGATCGTAACCTCTTGCAGTGAGAACCAGTGTGACTGGCCTGCCTTCGGGGCTTCTGAGGAGTTTTTTGTACTTATGTTTTCATATTTTCTTAAAAATCACAATAACATGCAGCAAACACAGTAAAATAGAAAAGCACACATCAATAAACACACCAATAGACAACAAATATATAGTATATTGTCAGTCAGTGAGATAAAATTGATGACCCGCAAGGCACAGAGCCAAGATGATGATGTCAGGTGTTATGAAATAATGATATTCTGATCCACATGTTGCATCTCCATATATCAACTAGTTTTGTTTCATGAGCTGCTTCTAACCCCCAAATGAGAATGAATGAAACAAAACATGAAAGTTTCCTGTTTCTTGATAATTTGTAGATGAAAGATTTAATGTGCTATCTTGATAACAGTTTCTCATTGTAATAATTATCAATATTTAGCGATACATGGATGGACGTGGTACATCTGAAACATCATATTCTACTCAACAAAGTGGTGGATTTCTTCGCCCATACGTGGTGGATGGTACAGAGCTATCAAGAGACCCCATGGTAAGTAGTCATACCAAATCCAAACCACTCTGAGAAAACTGTCCGGAATATTAACACTTGAAGTACAAAAAAAGAATTACATAAAAAGACATTTAAATGTATAAAATCTTGACGATTGTTGAGTTTATGGCAAGTCATTGGAATAGGATGAATGTGTTGAAATCCACTGAGAACACAATACAATATATTTATGAATATATCAATAATCTGTATGTGTTTTGAACTCATGTAGGAATTACTATCATGGTTTCAGCTTTTGGCATCTTCAGTAATATGAATCATTTTTTTGAAAACAATGAACAATTGTTTTGTAAAAAATCTGTATTGTAATATTTACTCTCTCGTTACTATTATGTGTTTTGTATTTCAGTCCTTATCACATGTTACTAGTATGCCACCGTTACCCAGTGCTGGTAATTATAGAATACCAAGAGCTCATGTTAAAAAGCCTACGCATTAATCAACTTTATGATAAACAAAGAAGTCT